TGTATACTCTTATTATTATTATGTATGTATGTACATCTATGCGTGTATAGTTATTATGTAAATTTATTCAAATAATGTTTCTAATGACAAAACAATAATGAGCAATGTCTTTCTATATACATGTGAATTTTTATTTTTTTGTGTTTTCGCTCATCCATCCTGTTTTGTATAAATTTTCTGTTGTAAGAAAAACAATTCACTAATAGCGAATTCGATCACTAGCACTACACTAGATCAATGCATACCAAAAGCTACTTTGCATGAAATTACCAAAGTTAAATGTAAAAGTATAGAAATATTTTAAACGATTAATTATAGACTAATAATATTCTCACATTATTTAAGTCACATTATTTAACAAAATATATGTGTATCATTTCATTGTCAAAGTTGATTATATTGTATCATTGAGATAGTTTATATAAAGCAGCTTTTAATATGCACTGATCCAGTGCAGTGCAAGTGATCGAATTCACCATAATATATGTTAAAATATAAATTATAATTTTGGCTCAAATTTTATTATGTGTTAATGTAATTTTATTATCTTTATAATACAGAACGTAAGAGTGCAAGAAATTTGTGATTGATTAGTATCCGGTGCACTAGGTCAAGCTTGTACAGTGACGGAACATACGAAATTCCTGAGAAACGATGAATTCTTCGAGTGCATTAGGGCTACTGACACGGTAGCTATTCGCGTGACATTTCATGAATGGAACGTGAGGTATAACAGAACCGCCGATAGCTGTCATACCAAAGGCACACTAGCAAATTCCAACTTTTTTGAAAATCAATGTTTTGAATTTTGTATAAAATTTTTTATTAAATTTTTTGGATAACGATTGTATTAGTCCATTAATGAAGAGAGATCGGTTATCGGTGCCATGTTAAATATAATTTCTTCTTAAATGAAAATTTTGAATTATTCCGCTTAGAAAAATTAATTAATTATATATAATTAATGATTTAAAAATAACACTTTTTTATTGGTGATAAACTATTGTTGCTCGATGCAGCCGCGGTAACAAAAAATGCGAATTATAAACTTAATGTTTAATTTCTAAAATGTCAGAATGAGGTTTATCTCCCCTCTTCGCGTTTCACATATTTTTTTTCAAATTTTTATTATATGTACATTTTATAATATCGAGATTAGTAAAATTATGGAATATAGATGAATAAAATGAAAGAGAAAATAAAAAAAATCATTTTTTGTACAACGTTTTAATATTTTATTCCCCTAATTTATTAAAATAAGAAACACGAGAAAATTTTCAATTTATTAATTATATGTACATTTTATAATATCGAGATTAGCAAAATTGTGAAATATAGATGAATAAAATGAAAGAGAAAATAAAGAAAATCATATTTTTTGTACAACGTTTTAATATTTTATTCCCCTAATTTATTAAAATAAGAAACACGAGAAAATTTTCAATTTATTAATTATATGTACATTTTATAATATCAACATTAGTAAAATTGTGAAATATAGATGAATAAAATGAAAGAGAAAATAAAGAAAATCATATTTTTTGCACAACGTTTTAATATTTTATTCTTCTAATTTATTAAAAGAAACACGAGGAAAATTTTCAATTTATTGAAATTAAAACCGCCCAATCCGGCACGTAAGAATTTAACAAGAAATAAAAATCCAAATAAAAAGATCAACTCTTAAATATACAAATACGAGCAATATATTGTTACATGATTTATCAATACAATTTAATTAAAATACAAGGAGTAAATTATGTCGGACGTAATTCGCATTATAAGACGTTAAATAGTTCCTGAATTCGTGTTGAGAGCATTTCGTGGCGGTAAACTGGATGTTACGCGATGCTACAATACACAAAGGCAAGTGCTCAGTCGACCGTTTTGTTTTGGTAGCAGTGCCGGGCGCGGTTAGGCGGTATAGTAGTGTATATAGTTGTGTATACAAAGCCCCGCCGGCGTGACGCTATCATTCATGGTGAGTGTGGGCGAGACTCGATCTGGTAGGTGATGTGGCGTGAATGTTGTCCCATTAGCTTTAAGGACGTGATCACGACGAGTACGAAAACGCAATCCCTCTCGATTATTTAACGATTGATAAATAGTCGTTACTCACCCCATAGTTGCTCCGTTGTTGCCTGACGCCTCTTCCTCTTCCTCTTACTAACAAGTTCTGTTGTTGCTCTTTCGCACCGAACCCACTTTCGCTTGCGAAAATATTGTTATTTACGATCATGCTACGCTCTCGTTAAATCTGCTACGACGCGACGAACATTTTGTTGTCACATTGTCGCGGAAAAATTACGCGGGAGACTTATAGATAGAAAAATTATAATTAAAGTTCCAAAATTATAAAAAACGGCTTCTATAATGAGATTTTAAGGCGTAAAACTTAATTAAACTTTAATTTTTAAGCCGTAAGAAATTGATCAATCATAATTAAACGTAAGGAGAATACTCGACTTGATTATAATCAACTTTTTACGGCTTAAGGCATAAAGCTTAAAGCCGGCAGTACACGATGCTTGTTTTATTGCTGGATGCTAGCTGGATTAGAAGTCAGCACCGCAGGCAATGCAGCGGCAAGAATCTAATCCAGCTAGCAATCCAGCAAGAAAACAAGCATCGTGTGCCGCCGGCTTAAATCTTAAAATCCGTTTTGAAATCTCGTTATAGATACCATTTTAAAATTGTGTTGTAGACGTCGCTTTAAAATCTCGTCGTAGCTGTTTTAATAAGATCAAGGTAATATCAAGTTAAAATCAATTCAGGAAAAATTATAATGATGTTTAACACTTTTAACGATCATTTTGTGATAAATTCTTGACACAATGCTTTTTAAGTGATGTTTTCAATTAAAAAATCATATCACAAGTTGTTATCGTCAAAAGTATTGAATGATATCGCCATTATGATTTTTCCTAAATTGACTTCTACTTGATATCATCTTGATCTTATAATTGTTAGTGAACGCATTAATGCATATTAAAGTTATATACATTGATTTAATCTGACAATGAATGTAACAGTAATATTCTACAATAAGTCATTAGTAATAAATCAGAAATTAGAAGCTAGAAATTGGCCAATCATAGTCCATTATTCTTCTCGCATTCGACTGTGATTGGTCAATTTCTAGTTTCTGACTTTTGATTTATTACTAATAGCTTATTGTAGAATGTGCCTAAACTGTAAATATATTTCGAATTATAAAATATATTTCACCTAATAGTATAATAAAGTGTGTTGAATTTCGCGATTTAACCTGTTTCTATTAAATTTACGTATAACATATACAAAGTATTCGAAAAGTTCCTGACCCCTTAAATATCTTGAAAAACAAGCATTTCTGAAATAAATGTTTCATACAAAAATTCTATAGTTTAAAATGGTCCAAACCTCGTACCCCACGTATCCAACCGACTGCTAAAACCTATTAAATGTTATTCAGGACCATGTCCTGGATAACATTTGTTAAGATCAAAGCTATTGGAGATTATTTATCTTATTTTTATTTTTGCACTAAAAATTCCATTTTTACGTAAAAATGAAAATAAGAGGTACAAACTCCAACGACCTTGATCTTGACAAATGTTATCCAAGTCACGATCCTGAACAACATTTAAGAGGTTTTAGCCGTCGATCAGACATCTTTGGTAGTGCCGGTAGTAACTTTCAAGTTTTATAACTTGAAAAGTACTTAATGAAAATAATTTTATTTATAGTGTTTTGAAAAGCTCTTGACACCAACTATTAGATTCTAAAATAAAAAATAGGATATTTCGTTAAAAAAAAGCAATTTGACCTTGACCTGATCTTGGTAGCGCCATCTAAGGTCAAACTGATAAAATCAGTAAATAGACCATTTTAAACTATACAATTTTTGTATGAAACATTTTTCTTAGAAATGCTTACTTTTCAGGGATCCGGAACTTTTCGAATATCCTGTATAATAAATCTATATATTTTATAAGCACACATTTTTACATCAATCCGTGTTTTAATATTCGTGTTTTAATATGCATCAGTGCGCACTGAGTGTGTCTAACTAATTTTCTCTAGCAAAAATAAAAGTCAAAGCGCAAGTCGAATGTAGAGGAGAGCAAATGAAGTTTTTAAGAGGCGAAAATTGAAAGAACGAAACGTAAAAGAAACGTATAAATGCTTCTTTTACATTTTGCCGTTCCAATTCCGTCGTCTAGAAGTTTCGTTTACGCTTAAGTTACTATCTCCTTACATCCGATTTACGCTCCGATTTTTATTTTCACCAGAGATTCGATGTATGATTTTGTATTCTACCTGGGACGAGCGCGCACAGCTCAGTGATCCGCTCGACGCTTGTGACATTGCGAAATCAGAGATCGAATTTGAAATGGCGTGATGGCACGACGGAGGATTTGGCAGAATTGCGCGTCTAACTTCAGAAGCAACCGTCGTGATACATCGTACGTTGCTTTCATATGATTGTTAATCATGTATAGTGCGTGAATAAATATATGAAATTGTTAAAATTTAAGACTAACATTCGTATAAGTCCGGATCTACAATAGATTTTTAAGTCTTAAGCCATAAGAAATGGACAAATCACAGTCGATTATTCTTCTCGCACTCGAATTGGTCAATTTCTTACGGCTTAAGGCTTAAAACACCTATTGTAGATCCGGGGTAATGGCATAACAGAATGTTCGAAAGGACAGAATCATCGTTTTGCTGAAAAATTCACTCTGTTATCAGAGATATTTTATCAATAACGGCGTTTAGCAGAAAAGGTAGCTTTAATTGCAACTGTTGTTGGATTCTTTAATATGATTGATTTAGACATTTAGATCCAGTGAGGAACTAAGAGCAAGATCAATCATATTAAAGAATTTTACAACAACTGCAAAGCTGCGTTTGCTGTGGAACGCAGCCAATGCTCGCGCGATTGATCTCATTTAAATTCAATGTACGAACGCGAAATTTCTGCTTTGCCATTATACTTAATGTCAAGATGTGAAATACAATATCGACCGCGAATAGTTTACCAATTGAATACCTGCACACTTCTTGATTTAGTGCTGCGACATTCCATTAACGACGACGACACGCGTTTGGAAATAGTACCGGAAACTTAATTCTCGTCGCGTGATACTCATGATGCAAGTCAAGTTTAGAGATAAGTGGCGCAAGAGACGACAAATGCCATTGATCATTCACGAATGTAACGTTGTATGTGAATGTGAGTGCATGAAGAAGAAGTGCAATGAGATGGAAGACATGGAAAATGAAGGGAGGAGGAGACCTGAGAGGCATCGGGCGTCGGTGGAGTTACTACGGAGTGAGTAACGACTACTTATTTATTATCTACTTACAGTGGATTTTACTACATTAAGATTTCTCTGCTACTCGATTCGTCTCCGTAATATCTTAAATTGAAAACCGTCATTATAGATTTGCGGCGTATTGCGTTAATAAAAAAAAAATTGCGAACGTTCTGAAATGAACTTCGTGATCGTAATAACAATCCATTCGTACGATGAATTTTCCATAAATTGATTGCGTGGGTGAGTTAATGGAAATAACGATAGCAGTGGAATAATAATTAGCAGTCATCAAGATTATTTTCTGCATCAGCGGTTTTTTATTTTATAAAAATATTAATTAGTTTGACCACTGTATTAATTTAGACACGTTTTTGTGTGTTACATGTGAATATGTTGCTCCGCTGCTGCACATCGACCGGTGAGTGTTAAATTATTTTTTCATATATACTTTAACTCATGGATTTTATCTCGTATAATTTTATGAAAATGAATATGCACGTAATATATATAATTAAGGTATACATATAGTATCATTATAATAGAAAGGAATTCAGGGAGTTAAATCGTTTCTTCTTTTGACAATTCTAATTAAAAAAATTTTTATTTAATATAATAATAAATGTAGCAGAAAATAATTATATTATTTTTTAATATCTAATGCTAATTTGTTTTTATGAGTATCACAGTAGTTAAAAAATTAGAATTTATTTCAGGGATTTTATAAATATAAGATTTTATAAATCCATTGGTCTTCCTTTTGAAATGCTTGAGATTTGAAGCAAATTAATGTAACACACGTGAGAACAAATATTATATATATTGTAAAATCAATATTATATACATTTTAAAATCAAATTGTGTGAAGGTTCTTCGTATACATAAATTCAGAGTTAGTTAATTGTATTAAATTAATTTTCAATTAAAATGTGTTACAATATCACGTATTTAAAGTAATTCATGTAGAATATTGGAAAATTTTTATTTCGATATGTAAATTAAAATTCATGAAGATAAAATACATATATTGAAAAAAAACATGAAAAATTCATATTTACAGTTGTGGTTTACAATAATATAGTTGTTGTTTAATAATTTTTTCTGGAATCTCACATTATTTTTTATAAATTACGGTATTAAACTGATAATTAAACTTTGATAATTAAACTTTGGACGTTAAGTCGAGTAATTAACAAAAGTTTCTTTTAATTTACGAGCCTACTGATTTATAAACAAACATTTTTTATCACATCACTGTTGAATGCGTTTATTTCTTGTGTCAAATGCGATACCATATGAATTAATCGTGGATCAATATTAGCTACAAATAATATTTATACATGAACGATTTTTATTCTCCGATTTATAATTCTAGAATTGATAATTTTAGTATAAAATATTTCATTGGTTACACTACACATAAACACACAGAATTTGATTTTGGTTAAGAAATTTTTCAAATTGATTAAAACGTCCGATTAGTATGCGATTAGTATGCAATATTTATGTAAATAAATGATATAAAATTTATTTATTATACATTTTGACTTAATTCCTACATCGTATACTCACCGACTAAAAAGTTGCAATACTTTTCTTTTAATGGGTTTCGGAATGTAGTCTGTTCACCGTCCGAGCGATTGATTCTTACTTATGGATCCATAAGTGAGCAGACTGCATTACGAAACCCATTAAAAAAAAGTGTTGCAACCTTTTAATCGATGAGTATACATAATTTTATCTTTATTTTATAGATATATATTTTATAAATTATTTGTGAATATTAGTATCTCTATTTAATGGCAATGTATTGACGATATTAGCTTAAAAATTTATGTAAAGAAAAGTTAAAACATTGGTATAATATAAAGAAAGTGGAGATATAAAAAAGATTGATCAAGTAAAATTTATGTACATATAAATAGAATTTCTGTATCCATAATTAAAATCTATACGATATAGAACAAGTAGGAAAGTGAATTTTTCTACAATGCGTGTAATAACGTATGTACATATTTGTTGGTTTCTCTGATGTCTCAGAGGATGTTAGTCGAAACGATGTTGCATGACTAAACTTTCTTATTGGAGTCGCTAGAGTATTGTGCAATTGCACCGTGCCGATCGTGACGTTTCCTCCTCGGGTTTGTCCGAGGTAAGCTCAATGCAAGAGCGTGAAATGGAAACCTTGGGGACAGATAGGGCGTGTGTGTGAATGCACCGTGTATGTGAGACCGAATTGCAATCGGAGATTATATCGATTTGATCGAATTTCACATTGAGCCAAGGAAATAACCGTACCACTGTATACTCGGTCGTGATCTTTTTTTTATTTGCTTGCTTGTAAGAGAGAAATGTTTTTCTTTTTGCATCTCAGGAATAGTACTTCAAAAATTGTTACTGAACGATTTTTTCCACAAATCGATCTTTAAGTAACTTTTTTTTACTTGTATAAAAGCTCTGTAAAACTTTTATCGCGGAATAATAAACTTTTGGATGAATGAAAGAGGTTTTTGAATAATATAAAAGATAAATGCACAGAATGCAAAATTGTTTACTTGAGTTTCTTGTAATTTTTTTTATATCTTTTATTTGAATTTCTAATTGAATTTATTTTATTTATAACAGAATTATACAAAATTAAATTTTATGTTGCAAAATTTGTAGAAACATGTTTTGAGTTATATACGTTTAAATTAATATTGTTTTACTTGAATTTTTTGCAATATTTTTTATTGTAAGAGATATTCTTTACTGAAAAGATACTTTTTTTTGATAAAACATTGTTTTCCTGTTTTGTTAATTTCTTTATTATTGGAAGCTGAATTTTAGTTAAAAAAAATTTTTTTCTGACATTGAGTAATGTTTTTTGTTTAGTCCATTTTCTTAAATTATTTAAAAAAATATCGTTGGAAAATTATTTAGTAGAATGTTTGAAACAAGTTCAAAACATATTAAATTTGCAACTTATATTAATCTTTGATTATGTAAATGAGTAATTTTCTAAAATATGTATGATTTGAAATTTTTCTCCTTATAATTAAGTTCTTCTTTTTAAACAATCAAACGAAAAAATTAAAATATAACAATTTTAAAAGTGTAAATTTATGTTTTATAAAAAAGTGCATAAAGCTTTAATTTTTTCTAATTTTAATTATTATGCGTTACTTAATGTTGTATTCCAAAGTGAATTAAAAATGTTTTATCCATTATAAATTATTCATCACTATTGGTGTAATTATATAACATCAACAAATTTGCGAAAAAATTGATTTGTATTTTAAATAACAAATATAAGAAGGAACATTTACCAAATAAACATTAAAACACATATTTTAATGTTTATTTTGTAAATGCGCCTCTTTACTTCTTTTTTAAATTATTTTTGTTCGAGACTTTGGTGCAATAAAGACCACGTTATACGTGGTGGAAGCTTAAGTCGTGATAATCCAAGACTCGTAAAACTTTCGCATTAACTTAAGGGCATTCGCCTGGGCGAATATTCTCTTCGCCGTTTCGCGATAAAACCATTAGATGTGCGTTTACGGTAAAAATGCTGCGGGTTCTATCGCGTTTCTTGAGGAGTGAACGAAATGTTTCTTACTTTTCTTTTTATCGGAATATACCTTTGTTATCGACACGAGAATATATATATGCAGTTATTGCAAAAGTATGTGCTGTAAAAGATGATAAAAGTTGAATAAAAATATTAAGACATAACTTTGGATATAACTTTAAATAACGTTAAATCATTTCCTTCTGTTGTAGTTAATTAAAAGAAAAAAAGAATTAGATTGATGCAAATAGGTAATAAAAAAAGAAATTATTGCAATCTTTAACACAAAATATATTGTTATATGTATAACAAATATGCTTATTCTTTCGTATACCCTGCTTATATATTATTTCTACTTCTAAGAGCATTGTTGTTAATCGCAGTCTTGAAATTGCTCGCAATATTATCGAAATGTTCATCTTATCTTCAATAGAATCGTAGATTTTATCGACTGCCTGTTAAAGGCAAACGAGACATTAGATGTGACGACGTCTCGCCAACGCATCGTTACACTTTATTTTCCTTCATGCTCGATCGTTTTATGCCTCGTATAACGAGATTTTATCTGGGAAATTACGTTCGCAAGCTACCATTCTTTACCTTAAATCTAGCCTTAATATTTTGTCACCTGTCGATTCTTGGTTCTCGTGTAATTCTATACAGTGTAAAAAAGGTTTTAAAAATCGAGTACTCGACCTCGATATCAACTGTACATGACATCCGTCCAAATTATCGAGAAATATTGAGGAAAAATAATATCGGTCAACGTCAGTGTTATCGAGAAGTTTTCATGGTCTCTCTGAATAATGGATGATCTCTATGATGATTCTCGAGGATACCAGGGGATTGGTCCTTGTGTTTGATTGTTCGAAGTTGCGAGTCAATTGCCGGCTTGATGACAATTTGCGCTTGATTGTTCGAAAAAAGAAATGTTTCCTCAAAGATAGTCCCACGGAATGAAATGTGAAAAACGTACCGACGCTGTTAGTAGATCGAATGCATATTAATTAGAGAGTACTCTTTGATCTAGTGCTGTATACGACACTATTGCGCTTGAAAGTTACAATGGGCTTTCGTTCAAAGTTCAGCTATCGCGCTATGTCAGATAGAAGTCGGTAGAGAAGTATTAATCGAAAAAATCTCGTAATTTTGTTATTTTTGAATAAAGTGGTTGAACATCATAATGTATAAATCACACTGAGAAAAAAATATAGTCAATTTTAATAAATATTTAGTTCAATACACTGCCAACTAAACATTTAATTTATATTTAATAAATATTTAGTTGGCAGTATTCAACTAAATATTTATTAAAATTGACTATATTTTTGTTCAGTGCACGGAATTAAGAGAAACGTTTAAAAATTCGTGTTTCAAAAATTTATTTTACATTTTTTGAATTATAAATATATCGAAAATGTATTTTATAGAAAGAATGTGTTAGTTGGAGTACTTAAAATTTGT